TATATATATATATATATATGAAACTGATTGAATCATTGGGGGGGACAGAGAGAGGGACACACAGAGACAGAGAGAGAGAGAGGGACACACAGAGACAGAGAGAGAGAGAGGGACACACAGAGACAGAGAGAGAGAGAGACACACACAGAGACAGAGAGAGAGAGAGGGACACACACAGAGACAGAGAGAGAGAGAGAGACACACACAGAGAGAGAGAGAGACACAGAGAGAGACAGAGAGAGAGAGAGAGACAGAGAGAGAGAGAGAGAGACACAGAGACAGAGAGAGAGAGAGAGAGAGAGAGAGACAGAGAGAGAGAGAGAGAGAGACACACACAGAGACAGAGAGACACACAGAGAGAGAGAGACAGACACAGAGAGAGAAAGAGACTGAGACACAGAGAGAGAGAGAGAGAGACAGAGAGACAGAGAGACAGAGAGACAGAGAGAGACAGAGAGAGAGAGAGAGAGAGAGAGAGAGAGAGAGAGAGAGACAGACCAGAGAGAGAGAGAGAGACAGAGAGAGAGAGAGAGAGAGACACAGAGAGAGAGAGAGAGAGAGAGACACAGAGAGAGAGAGAGAGAGAGAGAGAGAGAGAGAGACACAGAAGAGAGAGAGAGAGACACAGAGAGAGAGAGAGAGAGACAAAAGACAGAGAGAGACAGAAAGAGAGAGAGAGAGACACAAAAGACAGAGAGAGACACAGAGAGAGAGAGAGAGAGAATATTGACAGAGAGACAGAGAGAGACAAATTTGACAGAGACAGAGAGAGAGAATTCAGAAAGACACACAGAGAAAGAGAGAGACACACAGAAAGAGAGAGAGACAGAGGGACAGAGAGAGAAAGACACACAGAGACAGAGAGAGAAAAACACAGAAAGAAGACAAAAAGAGGACAAATAAACAGATAGAAACATAGAACCAAGAAAGAGAGAAACACAGGAATAAAGAAGAGAGGGACAAAAGAGAATGACACTTTTTTGATTCTCAACAAAAGAAAGATATGAAATACAATCTGACAACCAGGGTCTCTCATTTTTTATAGAAAAAAAAATAAAAATAAAAAATAAAAAAGATGTCCACCAACTTAAAATCAGATTTTTAATGAAAATAGAATTATTTTTCTGAAATTTCAAAGAAAAAAAAAGACAAGAAAAGAAATGTTCTGATTTTGTTATTTTGCAAAAGTTTGTCATGATGTGTAGAAAAGAGATTAAGGGAAAAAAAATACAAAACTATTTAAAAACGATCTGAATTTTTTTTTTGATAACCTCAAGATGTTTAATCAAAGTTTGAAAAGTGAAAATTTCTAATGTCCTTTTTTTAGCTGTCAATCAAAAAAGAAAAAATGTTTAAGCATTGATAGTACCTGAGAGGGCCTTCCCATTTACATACATCAAGCAAAAAAAGATAATGTTGTTTTTAAAAAGAATTTTTTGATGTCCTGTGAGGAAAATTTAACAAAAAAAAAAAAAATTATTGTGTAGAAATTTCAACTGATTTCCTGATTTTAAGGAGGGTACTATCCTCAAAGGATTTAATAAAAATAAATTTGGACAAATCAGATGGTGAGAAGTCATTCTATTGTCATGATGGTAAAGATTTCAACCTTGTTTTATAGGAAACAGAAAGATATTTCTATAACAAAAAAAACAGAAACTCATAAGAATATTTTTCTGAAATTGAGAAGAATGAAAAAAAAATGCAAATTGAATTTATTTATCCCAATGCAAAAACTGATTTCAATTTAAAACTGATCTTCAATTTTTTTTTTGATTTTTTTTCAAAAATTTAAAATTTTTTTATCATATGCAGATTTACTTTGAAAAAAAAAGATTTCCAAAAAAACCGAGTTTTTTGTTTTTAATTTTGTCTTCCTAAAATTGATGATTTAGTCCTTTCTTCCCAATAAATTAGTATGATTTGAAAAAAAAAACATGATTTTTTGTTTCTAATGTTATTTATAAAAAAGGTCAAAATAATCAGAAAAAGGTTTTTCTTAGAATAAGTTTTAGATGTTATTTGAAACAATTTATTACATGGTAGAAAAGAAAGACAGAAAATTTAAAATATACAGAAATATATAAAATAAAAGAATTTTTTTCTTTTGAAAAAAAAAAATATTTAAGTCTTGAAAAAATATTTGGGAAAAAAAAAAAAAAAAAGATTTTAGAAAAAAAAAGGAAATATGGATTAAAAGAGTTCTTTTTAAATTGAAATAAAAAATTTTATTTTGTCTAATATTCAAAACTTCATATTGGAAAAAAAAATGCTGAAATAAAAATATTTTGAATTAATTTTTGTATTGTTTTCAAAAAAAAATTAAATGAATCAAAAAAAAAAAGGAGAAGGAAAAAAAAAAAATATTTGGAGAGAAAAAAAAAAATAAATTTTTGGAAAAAAAAAAAAAGAAAAAAAAAAAAAAAATAAATAAAAAAAAAAAGATTTGTATTTTTAGGAAAAAAATAGTCTTTTTTTTGGAGGGAGGGAAAAAAAAAAATGTCTGTAAAAGGGTAAAAAAAACATTTGCTTTCACCTGGGTTAAAATATTGAGAAAAAAAAAAAGAAATTGGTCCTATGCTCCTGAAAATTGTGGAAGAGGAAAATCAAGAAAGTGAAGTAGAAAAAAAAATAAAAAGGAGGAAAAAAAAAAATGTGGAATCTTTCAAAAAAATAGAAAAATCCAATTAAAAAAAAAGAATTGTTTGAGAGAAAAAAAAAAGAAAGAGAATTTAAAAAATTTTTAAAAAAAAAAAAAAAAAATTCAAAAAAAAAGAAAACAAAAAAGGCTAAAAAAAATGTAAGAGATAAAAAAAAAGAAAGGGAAAAAAAAAAAAAACATTGAAAAAAAGAAATTATTCATGAAAAAAAAAATTTTATGGAAAAAAAAAAAAACCATGCCTTGAGAGAAAAAAAAAAATTTGTCAAGTTGAAAAAAAAAAAAAAAAAAAAAGTGTAAAAAAAAAAAAAAAACGATATTGCACCAAAAAAAAAGACAAGCCTGAAAATTTATTCTTTTTCATTTCAGGAAAAAAAAGAGAAAAAAAAATTATTGGATTTTGGGTGGGGCTGCTGCCCAAAAAAAAAAAGTCTTGATAGAGTTCAAAAAAAAAAAAGAGGTTGAAAAAAATTTTTTCCAAAAAAAAAAAGAATGGAACAAGAAAAATTCTAAACAGGAATAGGAAAATTTTCCATCTATCTTCTGCAGAAAAAAAAGTAAAAAAAAAAAAAAAAAAAGTTTACATTTTAAAAAAAAAAAAAAAAAAAAAAAGAGGAAAGGTCAAAAAAAAAAAAAATTTGAAAGAAAAAAAGGTGTGGATTCAAAAAAATAATTTTAAAACAGACAAAAAAAATCTTGAATAAAAAAAGTGGTAAAAAAAAAAAAAATTGGAGACTTTAAAAAAAAAAATTTTTTGGGTTATTATTGATAACAAAGAAAGTGTCGGAAAGACGAAAAAAAAAAATGCATTTTTGAAGAAAAAAATATAATTTAAAAAACCCAAAAGCAGGAGAGAAAAAAAAAAAAAAATTTTAAGGAAAAAAAAAAGTGTATGGAAAAAAAAAAAATTCCTGATAGCAAAAAGAGATAAAATTTCCATTAAATAAATATCTATATAAAAATTTTAATATATGGAGAGAGTAAAAAAAGTTAGTATGATAAAATTATATGAAAAAAAAGTTCAAATCTCAAAAAGTGTTGATTTACCAAACTGTGAGAGAAAAAAAAAATCAGTCAGAGAAGTGAAAAAAAATAGACAAAACTGTTTGGAGATTGACAGAAAAAAAAGAGCAGGAAAAAAAAAAAAAAAAAAGAGAGGATTTAAAAAAAGTGTCTGCTCATCAAAAAAAAAAAAAAAAAAAAAAAAGTTAGTTTCAATCCCCAGGAATGACTGGAGAAAAAAAAAAAAAATTTTAAAGAGAGAAAAAAATGAAAAATGTTTGAGAGATTTTTTTTTTTTTTGAAGATAAAAAAATAAAGTTGGAGAGGAAAAAAAAAGTGTTCATTTGAAAAAAAAAGAAAATGTCTGAGAGGAAAAAAAAAAGTGTCTAGAGAAAAAAAAAAAAACTTGCTTTTGAAAAAAAAAAAGTGTAGAGAAAAAAAAAAAGAAACTTTTTATAGAGAAAAAAATTTGTCGGATATTAAAAAAAGTGAGAGATATTAAAAAAAAAGAAATTTTTTTTTTTTTTGCTTAAAGAAAGTTTTTTTGAAAAAAAGTGTTGGACAGAGGAAAAAAAAAAAGTGCATTTGAAAAAAAAAAACAAGAAAAGAAAAAAAGTTGGAAAAAAAAAAAGTGGATGAAAAAAAAAATGAAAGTGTCCAGAAAAAAAAAAAATTCAAAGAGAAGTGTGAACTGATGAAAAAAAAAAGAAAGTATATTAGAGAGTTCAAAAAAAAGAAAGTTTGCTGCAGGAAAAAAAAAAGATTTCAAAAAAAAAAATTTTAAGAGAAAAAAAAAAAAATAAAGGAAAAAAAAAATTTTTTTTGGGAGAGGAAAAAAAAAAAATGCGTGGAAAAAGAAAAAATAAAACAAATAAATCTGTTCTGTTGGAATTAAAATCAAAAAAAAAAAAAAAAAAAATCATTCTTAAAAAAAAAAAAAGCAAAAAAAAAAAAAAAAGAAAGGGGGTAAACTTTGAAAAAAAAAAATGGAAAAAAAAAACTTCTTTTATAGAAAAAATGAAAATGTGGAATTAAAAAAAAAAAAAAGGTAAACAGAAAAAAAAAAAAGAAAAAGGCAAGAAAAAAAATGTAGGAGAGAAAAAAAAAAAACGATATATATAAAAAAAAAAAAATTTTTCAAAAAAAAATGTTTAGCATTTGTTTAATAAAAAAATTTATGTGCACATGTGTAAGAGAGGGGGGAAAAAAAACAAAAAAAAAAAAATATATATATATATATATATATATATATATATATATATATATATATATATATATATAAAACAAACCTGTATAAGAACATTTAATATGAAAGTGTAAATAATCTCTCAGATGTGAATCAAGTTGATGGTATTATTCTATTTTGTTCATTTGTGTGTCGAGGAAACAAAACTACAAAAAGAAGAAAAAAAAAAAAAAAAAAAAAAACATAAATATTAAAACAAAATTCAAATATTTTCAAAAAACTTGGAAATTCAATTTTTATAACATGGGTTTTTGTAAATGAATAAAAAAATATTTTAATTTATCCTGTAACAAAAAGTAAATTTTAAGTGAAAAAAAAACACCAAAAAATTTTTTTGCAAAAGATATATATATATATATATATATATATTATATATATATATATATATATATATGAGAGAGAGATATGGGCACCCAAAGGCAGTGTAATGGTTAGCAAGCTTGTCTTGCTAGAACAATTACAACCAAGTACTGAGCTCAATCCTCACTGGGTGCCACATCTAAGCTACACTTGGAAAATCACTATATATGTAAAATCTGACATTGTTTAACCATTTTTTTTATTTTTAATTGATACACATATTTGTGTAATGGTCTGTTTTTATTTATTTTATTTATTCAACAGTGTATTTATTTACATCTTGCCAGTCTGAATATTCAAGAAATCACATTAGAAAATATGCAATCACCAACAACTTGGTCTGAGGCACATCAGATCTAATTACAATTTACCCTGGAGGATGCAGGATTGAATACTGCCGGAGGACACATATTTCCTAACAAGATTTCTTGAATATTCGGGCCAGTAAAATGTAAATAATTAAATATACTGTTTAATAAATAAAAACAGAGCATCTACTCAAATATGAGTATCCATTTGAAAAATAACGTTTAAACAAATATATATATATATATATATATATATATATATATATATATATCATAAAATAACATTCATTCAGTATATGCATGTCTGGATGAAAATGTGTCAATCTGCAGATATTTCGATTCAGATAGAAAGTTGTGCAACATGTTTACGGGGCCTTGAGACTGTCAGCACAGTTGTTGTGTAAGTTGCATAGGCAGGACTTGAAGGACACGAATTCTGCAGTCTGTAACTGTTGTCTTCAGCGGATGCACCTGATGTGTATTGGATTTGCAGAAATTGTTATGCCTGAAGTGCTTAAAATAATCAGAAACTTCTATATTTCTTTTAATAATTGATGATGAATAAATGATTTTAATTTGTGTTTTAACAATTGATGGTGAAAATAAACAAACTAGCAAATAAAATCTGTGTGCTGTTATTTTTAAAATTACCTGCCTTCATAATATTAAAAATATTTACTGGCAAAATAGCCTCAGGGTCTATTTTACCAAGACCAGTAAAATAAGCTTAAAAACATGTTTGTTTTACTGGGACCAGCAAAATGGCCTCTTCTTTTAAATTAAGTCAAGAATACTAAAGAAGTTAGAATATGTTCCAGTCTGATTCTTTCAATATACGTTTAGAAATGGGGGGGGAAAAAAAAAAAAAAAAAAATTAGAAACAGTTATGTAAAAACATGTAGCTCATCCCTTTCATGAGATAGTATGGTGTCTATGAGATGCTGGTAATATAGCAGCTAAGGAATAAAAAGTTACTCATTATTTAAGCATGAATTGAAACATACCTATTTCTAGAAATAGTTTCAAATTTTATGTAAAGCCTCCTTTGTTATTTTGTTTATAGTTCAATTAAATGTGGCAACTCAAGCAATAAATGATCAAATTGCCTTTTTTCTTATTTTTTTGGTTGGACAGCTTTTTGCAATTGACTAAACAATATTCTAATTGAGTTTCTATTAAAGCAAGTCAAGAATAATAAAGAAATTGGACTATTTCCTAGACGCATTGTTTCAATATATGATTAGAAATGGCAAAACACTTCTACCCAGTCTTTTGAACAGTAGTAGAGGTTTAACACTTGTTTCCTTTTTAGGATTGGGTTTCTGGTGTCTTCTAAAGATTTCATTCTCTCTCACTCCAAGTAACCCCTTGTGTCTTCATGACATTATCACCTCACTTAGGATGATTGATTACAAAGAAAAGAGAAAAAAGATGTAGCTAGACCCTTTTCTCAGAGTAATGGCCCCTACATGAAATGAGATGCTGGCAACAGAGTGGTTATATCTATTTTGGTATGATCCAAGCCTGTCCATAACAAAGATATACTTATTGGATATGGCTGCAGGGAATTTTGTGAGATCTGCAACACGTACAATATGAACTCAACAGGCTCAACAAACAGTAATGGATGTTAAAATTAAGTTTTCTGGTATGAATTTCAGGTCAGGGGGGGGGGGGTTGAGTATCTCATTGAAACAGCTCTCAACTGGGAAAGTGAGTATAGAGTGCATGCAAAATGGAGAACACCAAGACCTGTTTATATCACATGTGCTAAGACAAACTCCACTTTCAAAAGTAGTTCTATACCATTACAGAACCCCCACCAGCTTCCTCAGCACACTTCTGTCAGGCTGGACTCACAGACTCCTCTACTATTATGGTCACGTGATCAAAGTTTGAGCCAATTTTCTTGCTGCTCTTACAATGTAAACATGTCCACTATGTGCACAAAGGAGGAACATAGAGCAGGGATCAGATTTCTCTGGTCAGACGGTGTGTCGGGGGGTTGAAATTCATCGGATGCTTTTAACCAAAAACAGTGACAGCGCACCACCATGTATGTATGAATGGATTGATAATTTTAAAAATGGCCGGACAAGCGTAGCATGCAAAGGAGGAAGTGGAGGCTCATCAACCACCACTACCAATGAGAAGATTCAGTAAGCTTGAAATATGCTAGTGGTGAACTGGAAAGTTATCGACAAGGTAGCATGTCCCCTGCAGATTCAGATCCCTGCTCTGCTCTTCCTTTGTGCACACTGCTAACAGAGCGGCCATATTTACACTGTAACAGTAGAGAGAAAACTGGCACATTCAAGCTCATACTTCAATCACATTACCAACTATAAGCACACATGTGCGGAAGTCAGTATGACAAATGTAAAAGATACGTTATGGTGAAAGTGCAGAGAATTTTTGACTTGCCCTCATATCGTTTGTCGCTGTTTATAACAAGATTTGCTATTAGTTGTAATTTATCAAAAGTAAATTATAAGTAATTCAGAGAGGAATATAACAATCTCTGGTCGGGATTTTACCAGCAAGTGAATCTATATTCAGCACTAGTTGGAATGAGAATTAACTTAAGTTGGTAAGAAATGTCTAGAAAACCAATCTGGATTTTACTAACACATCAGAGGGTATTTCTAGTATGCTAGTAAAATCATACCCCTCACCATTTCAGCTGCCACAAGATGTACATTCACTCATTTGTAAAATATTCACAACAGTAACATTCTTCCATCTGTCACCGTTAATTTATTGTACTTGGTAAATTACAAACATTTCCATGACAACCAATTATCAATTATAGATTCACTTACGAGTAAAATCCAAACCAGTAACCATTACAAATGTTACTTGGTCAAAGTGAGGTGCAGTAACTGATGCAGATGCATCAATGATGGCACCATTGTTGCATGATGACTACAAAACCCCATGAAATACAGTTGACTGATGGGTCAAGGGACACTAGTGTTGGATTGAGATGTTATTTCATACAATGTTGCCTCTCTTTGGGCGGTTACCATCTCTGTCAGTTTTACAACAGACCCATTCTTTTCTTGTGCCAATGTCTGAAATTCACACATTCCTCGTTAACACTTGCTAACGTTTCCCTCGCAAGAAAAATCTAGTTGCCATTTCAGAGAGAGTGTGCTCCATCTTTCTGATCCCACCAATTATTGTGGCCAAACTGCTAAATCTTGTTGTGTCCCATAACTGCCACAGATACACTACCTTTTTATGAATTCAAACATGAATATCATCCAAAGAGAGGAGGAGGAGGAGGAGGAGGACAAAGCCAGCTGGTGTAAAGCTGCTTCATTCTCGTAAGTATCTGACTCATCCTACCATGCTCTCTCTTTACAAGAGCCAGATCAACTAAAAATGGAGTATTGCTTGTCATATCTGGGTTGGAGCTGCCCAGTCCTCACTTGCCTGTCTTGATAAAGCTCAAAATTGGCCCTGTGGGTGATGAATTATTTCCCACCCTACAACTGCATTCCAACAGAGAAAATGTTATGAGGCTCTTGTTAGTTTCCTTAGACCCACCACCCATGACCTTTACGCCTGGAACCTACCACGCCTTGTACACAAGGGTGAATCATCCCCATTCCTTTCATATTCCAACAGTCAAAAGTAAGTTTCATTCAGACAGCTTCTCTTCAAAAAATTGCTGCATTGTGAAACTACAATCTTGACCTCTTCATGTGTAGGGTTAACTGCTACCTTTCCTATATAGCTCCATGAACTTCACTTCTTACCATTTCTTACACTTATATACAACACCACACAGTAACCCTCTATCTGGAGTTGCTCTTGGGCCTTGCTCTGGGTGAACATTATATTAAAACAAAAAATTTTATATTTCACTTTAATTATTTTATTACAAGGGAAAATCAAAAATGATTCACACTTTTTTTTTATCAATTTATTTACACAAAAGCAGGGGTTAAACAAGTACATCATTTTTCTCAGCCAGTTATGTGCCATACGTGATACACGCTTAGGTGATAATGTAACTTTCAATACATGACTGATGAGGCAGATTTTTTTGCACAGTATGTTGCCATTTCTTTATGTGGTAGACCAGTTGCTAACACAAGACTATAGAATCTGGTTCTGTATTGCTATTTACCCATAGATGGATGGAGAAGAGGATTCATACCTTTCCCAAGGGTATTAGCACTTAAGAGAATGTAATGGATTCAACTGTAATTCGAACTTGGCTCTCCGATTCCTCAATAGGAGCCACTATTCATTACTCCACTGTGCCTCATCATTTTTCTACATAAGTAATAAAAGCGTGGAGTAACGTTCATAATGAAAGAAAAAAAGAAATTCAAAGATTAATAATTTTTGCATAAAATAATGATATTCTTATGGCAAAAGTGTGGATAATTTTTGACTTGTTCTTTTTATTGATATTCTTCATTTGAGTAAAATAATACATGTGTTCGAGATTTGTAAACCTAAATAATAAGCCCAACTCTGCCAAAGCCATAAATATCAATGACTTGAAAAAAAAAAAAAAAAAAAAAAAAATCAGGTGGGGGGGGGGCATTAAATTAACAGTTTCATTTGTCATTCATTGTCCTTTCAGAATTATATTCAAGAAAGTGATAAAATTGATTATAACTAACCCATTTCTCATTATTTACACCATTGCATTTGGACTATTGTTCTGATCTTCGTTGTTGTCACAACATTTTGGACAGCCTTCCATCCAGGTGTATATTGATCTGGGGAGCCTACAGAGAATCCTCTAGACATGGGCAATGGAACAAGAATGGTCTACACCCATAGATTGAATAAAGGATTCAATTCGGAATTCTCTGTAGGTTACCCAGATCAATATATGCCTGATGAAGGCCAGAGGGAACAACAGCCGAATCATTAAGATGATGATAGAATGTAAATAGTGCAGATTGATAACTCTGCATCTAAGAAATTCAGACAGAAAACCCGTTTGTCAGTGGCTTTTGCTTTCTCAAAGTATTTTTATAGTTTGAGATGAAGATATGTGGAAAACTAATTCCCCTCTTTTTCAGCAAAAAGTGGGATGACCACTTACCAAATGTAATGTAGCCAATATTGTCTCCTACAGAAGCGTCTGTGTTCTGCAACTCTTGTGGAGGTTCTTTGTGGCTGAACAACACCTGAGGCGCTTGTTGGTACTTACGTCGTCCCTCTTTGAATTCCTGGAAGACAAGAATATGATATCAGCAACAAAAGGTAGAGAGGGAAGAAACACATTAAAGATTCTGAAAGAAACAACATTTTCTTAGCTTATTTCAAGGTTAAGCCTATATATATATTATATATATATATATATATATATAGAATTATCATTAAAATACATTAAAATCAACTTGCAACTATGTTCTGCAAATTTCAACTATCTGCAACCACAAATGCAAATCCAATTTTTTTCAACTTATTGAAAATTCCTTATTTCAAAAGGAAAGGGAGATAATTCCAAGTTTTCATTAACCTCTGCTTCCTGAATAAATTTAAATTTGAAGTCTTAGAAAAAATTGGGACAAAATAGGACACTTAGAAGAGAGTTGAAATATCTAGGGGAAAACAAACAAAAAACAAAGAGGGGAAAAAAAAAACAGAGGAAAAAAAAAAAACAAAAAAAAAAAACAAAGGAAGGGGAACAAAGAGGGGGAAAAAAAAGAAAAAAACAAATAAGGAAACAACAAACAAATAAGGAAACAACAAACAAATAAGGAAACAACAAACAAATAAGGAAACAACAAACAAATAAGGAAACAACAAACAAATAAGGAAACAAAAAAAACAAACAAATAAGGAAACAAAAAAAACAAACAAATAAGGAAACAAAAAAAACAAACAAATAAGGAAACAAAAAAAACAAACAAATAAGGAAACAAAAAAAAACAAACAAATAAGGAAACAAAAAAAAACAAACAAATAAGGAAACAAAAAAAACAAACAAATAAGGAAACAAAAAAACAAACAAATAAGGAAAAAAAAACAAGTAAAATCAGTGAGAGAGAAAAAAAAACTTTGAAGGAAAGAGGGCCTAAAAAATTTGGCACTGATATGATGAACTGAAGACAAGAGGAAAGAGAGGAAAACAGCACATAACCTAGCTATGGAAATAGTTGACAGAATAGAGATGGCAAAAAGACAAGATTTACTCAGAGCTACAAAGGACAGGAAAGATTGCTAATGTCCTGAAGTGATATGGCATGTTTTACTGGCAGTAACCACAATTACAGTGAGCTGGACTTTTGGAAGAGGATCTCATTTTTAATATATTTCTACAAGAATTTGTATGCTGGTGTGTGTGCACATGCACACTTTTTATTTTAAAAGAAATCCAGACATTATTTTACAAAATTTTTTTTTTTTTTACTAAATGTTCACCCAATACAAGGCCCGAGAGGCACCCAAATTAGAAAGTTACTAAATGAAGTTGTTGCCGGGAAACATGAAGGGAGAAATAAGGGTAGATTATGAGGATATGTAGAAGACCTAACAGTTGGCTCTTATTTTAAAGAGGGTTAAGATTGTTGTGTTCAGGGAAGCATTCCTTTCAGGGAAATTAATGAAAGGACAAATCCAAGATTAGTCAACTTTGTTTTCTTTCAAAAGTTCATGATTCTATTTAACCTCTATTTATCATGAATACTTTGTTAAAAAAAAAAAAAAAAAAAAAAAAAAAAAAAAAAAAAAAAAAAAAAAGGCTGAGAACGCGACGTGCACCTTTTTATATCTTAGAAAGAACAGTTAATATGTACCTGCATAAAAACTTTTCCAATAACAACATCAGAGTCGTCTTTGAAAACTGTGCTGAAGATCACCGTTACTCTGTCTTTTTGCGCATCAACATACCTGCAAAGAAATTCAACCAACTCAGAATTAGGAAGACAAAAAGAAAAATGCAACAAACTGTAAACAAGAGGATTTGTTACTGAAAGACAAATTTTTTTTTTTTTTTGTTGGAAAGAGATTAAATTAGTAAAGAAACCAATGAGACTGCGTTCCATTTCTAGAACACAACAATTACATAAAATATTACAGACGTTTTATTTAATTCCTTCAAGTCTCTCAGTTAATATTTTATAATTATTTTCTGTTGAATTCCTATAAACTTTATATATATACATACATAAACATTTAAAATTCATGAGGGCACATTTTTTTTTTGTCTGGCATTAATTTCAACATGGTAATAATCATCTTTTAATAGGATTCGGTGCAATGCTCAGGTTTTTATATTCAAGATGACCCAAACCAAATTTCCCCACGGCACAGTTATTTAAGATCCCACAACCATATAAACGATTACATTCTTCCTGCAAACATTTTGAAGGAACTAGTTTGAGAGTGGGGTAGACAGGATTGAACACTTACATAGTCTCTTCATCTCTGTAATGGATGACAGCTCGCTTGTGCCCAGCCTCACCATTTGCCTGAAACTGGAAGTATTTCTCGAAGACTGAGGCAAAGCAATTCCTTTTCAAAAGAGCAGCTTTCTTCACAATTTCTATATAGTCTTTTGGAATGTTCTCAAGATCATATACTAAAGAGATATTGTAACCTGAAAAACAAGACCATTTAATAATATCCAGGTAAGATCGGTACAAAATTTGGTGATGGGGTGGTTAATTAAACAGGCTGATATAGAAAACATTAGAGCGTGATAGTTAAGAAAGGAAAAAAGAAAAAAAAAGAAAAGAAAAGAAAAAAAAAAGGAAAGCAGACAAGTGAAAAATGGAAAAAGTGAAGGAAATACAAAAAGAAGTAAAAAAAAAAGTAAAAAAAAAGAAGTAAAAAAAAGAAAAAAAAAGTAAAAAAAAAAGTAAAAAAAAAAAAGAAAAAAAAAGAAAAAAAAAAAAAAAAAAAAAAAAAAAAAAAAAAAAAAAAAAAAAAAAAAAGAAAAAAAAAAAAAAAAAAAAAAAAAAAAAAAAAAAAAAAAGAAAAAAAAAAAAAAAAAAAAAAAAAAAAAAAAAAGAAAAAAAAAACAGAAAGGGGAGACAGAAAAGGGGGTGAAAAGACAGGAAGGGGGGTGGAAAAAAAGAAAAAGGTGGGAAAAAGCAGAAGAAAGAAAAAAGTAAAGAAACATTTCAAGAGGGGAAAAAAATTTTTTTTTTTTACAGATTCCTATCTATGGATGGTATATCAGAAATAGTTACGTTTCAATGGGCTAAAAGCTTTTACAAGATCCTATGATAAGTGTCCACAGTTCAACTAGTGGACATTTATACAATGAATGTATCAACAATGAAAAAAAATTTATCAAATGTGGCAATAGACAGGTGCAAACCACTACTGCAAGACTATTTTTCTATAGAAAGAAAATATGGATAAGTCTTGTGACTCTAGACTGCCATTCACTCACCTTCTTCAGGATCTGTAAGATAGTCGCCATACTCTCGCTTGATTAACTGAAAAGAGAGAGGTTGAAAATTTTAATGACTTGCAATACTCAGATTCTAGCTTTCAAGCAATACTCAGATTCTAGCTTTCAAGCAATACTCAGATTCTAGCTTTCAAGCAATACTCAGATTCTAGCTTTCAAGCAATACTCAGATTCTAGCTTTCAAGCAATACTCAGATTCTAGCTTTCAAGCAATACTCAGATTCTAGCTTTCAAGCAATACTCAGATTCTAGTTTCAAGCAATACTCAGATTCTAGCTTTCAAGCAATACTCAGATTCTAGCTTTCAAGCAATACTCAGATTCTAGCTTTCGCCAATACTCCAATTCTAGCTTTCAAGCAATACTCAGATTCTAGCTTTTCAAGCAATACTCAGATTCTAGCTTTCGAAAGCAATACTCAGATTCTAGCTTTCAAGCAATACTCAGATTCTAGCTTTCAAGCAATACTCAGATTCTAGCTTTCAAGCAATACTCAGATTCTAGCTTTCAAGCAATACTCAGATTCTAGCTTTCAAGCAATACTCAGATTCTAGCTTTCAAGCAATACTCAGATTCTAGCTTTCAAGCAATACTCAGATTCTAGCTTTCAAGCAATACTCAGATTCTAGCTTTCAAGCAATACTCAGAATCTTTTTATTGCACTAAAGTGTAATGTGTTTGGCTAAATTTCCCCATAAATGTCTTACAAGGGGATACTAAAAAATTCTAGACCTGATCAACTTCTCTAAGTCTAACCAGTCATTGGAATTTATTTTTTTGAAGGACTTTTGATGAAGATAAGATCTTTTTAGAATCACATCATACATGACCTGCATTCAAAGATAAACAAGAAAAACATTTTGTCTTGTAGAAAAACAGATGAAGTTTTTACTTAATAGATAATCAGGAAAAACTAGGAATATGTAAATATTTTGGGTTCTAAACAGAGTTAAAAAGGCCAAGAGAATAAAGCTTTTTATTTGTCTAGCAGTTCAAATCCCTCTTCACTTGTCCCGATTTTATCAGCTTCTCCATGCTAAAAACTGTATCTTAACATCTGACAGCAAAACACATCCGTAATGACAACAAAGCAGGAATTCAATTTTTCATACAGATATGTAGGTCATGTGATGCATAGGGGGTGGTACATGTTAAAAAGTTTTCTTCCAGCCCACATTTCCCAGAATTAAACTTTTACTTTATATTTCCTTAGTCAGGCTCATAACTTTTCAGTACCGATCTTGATAGTATTTTTTTTTTAATTCTTCATTTTAGCAGGATCTTTAGGCTTTAAAAAAAAAAAAAAGAAGCTCAACAGGCTTAGAGCAGAGAGGATTCTTTCTGTACACATTAACAAATATATAAAATTATAAAAGAATCAGAGAGTAATGAACAAAAAAGATGTGCTTGCATTTAGTCTAGACAGACATATTCTTAGCCTCGGTTCTGTAGCATAGAGAGAAAGAATAAACAGAAAACAGGACTGCCAAAAAATTAAAAATAAAAAAATAATGTACAGTAATTACTATCCACTAACACAGTAAACAATTTGTTCAACTTGCTTTTTGCTTTTATAAATACTAGGTCATCCTATGTTCAAAGTTTTGGAGATGATAAACATTTGACAAGCAAAACAAGATGAGAGAGAAGGAGTGGCAGGATTAAAACTGATCATTCCTCAACTTGTTAGCCCATTTTTAAAAAATTTCCTTTATTGAAAGAGAAAAAAATTTTTTTTGTTTTTTTACTCTTTACTGAGATCCTTTATCAATAAAGAGAATTTAGCAACACATTAATTTCAAATAAATGGGATGGTTGTGATTTCTTTTTCGTTAATTTTCAGTCAGCATAAACTTTCAATGAGAATGCTCTGGCTACCTCCCAAAGGAGTGAGGAAATATAAGGAAAAAAAAATTTTAAAAAAAAATTTATTTATATATATATATATATACACTCACACACATACAGTGGCAATAAAATCACTATACAGTTATTTACAATAACAATTAAGAAAAGTCCAGAAATTTATTATTAAAATGGTTAAAAATTTATTCAAAATGACAAGTCGACAGGTATAACACAGTCAGATAATAGATTGCGTAAACTTCTCTCATCAGTCAAATTAACTTTCGATAAGCCACAAATATAAATCAGGTAAGTATATAGTGACTTTATTGCCATCCTGTATATGAATAAAGACAAAAGGAAATCTTATCTTAGTTAACACGTTTCATCCTCTATGGAACCTTTATCAAATCAAATGCAAGGATTTTATTTTGTAACAAGTGTTTATATACAAAAGCAAAAAAGTTTTTGGTTTTGCAAAATTTCTTTAGTTAGGAATGCTCATCAATATGCATAAGATTAGTTGAAACATCAGACAAGCTATGGGAGATGCAAAGTAATAAAATCAATGTCTAATAAATGAAAGTGAGTAAGGTTTTGTAATTTTTTTTTAAAGAAATTTAATGCAAATTAGCATTTGAATTAATTTAGTTTGTGATCAATTTGTGTTATCTATATTGAATAACATGAGGTCATGGGTTTAACATTTTTTTTCTTTTTTTAAATTGTTTAACATTTTTGTACTTAGGTCTCCTGGCTTGGGAAACTAGTAATTCTTTCAAAATAATAGAAAAAAAAAAAACTGGGGCACAGATTTATATCTTGATAAGATTCAATAGTGGTGCTCTTGAGAATTTTCCTTTTGTCTTCTTATAGATATACTCTACCTGATATTTTATTATATATATATATATATATATAATAAAATATAATAAAAAGGCTTAAACACTAATATTCCATGGTCATAATTTATTCCATTGGAATCGTAAATACGATCCAAATGGCGAGCTTATATATATATATATAATAAAACAACGCTAACTATTGGTAAAGTGCCAAAGAACAACCCTACCAACATTAAGCATAGCAAAGGTAAAACAAGAACAGACAAAAAATAAAAAAAGAACAAGAAAAAAGATAGAAAGGAGGAAAAAAATATATACAAGAATACCTACCCACACAGAAACTTAGTGCTCAATACCTCTTGAAATCAGACTAAAACAGACCAGTAATGCTTACAAACCAAAGAGCACCTAGAGATTCAAATTCCTGATGATTAAAAAGTATAGACTCTCTCTCATCTTATTGTTTCAGATCTTATAATGGCAGGCAGATTCTGATTGAGATTATGACAATTTTGTGTCATTATTGAATAGTGGGTTTCAAAAAGATATTGGATAGTGTTCAAGACTTTGGCAAGGAAATAGAACTATCAAACTATACTGCTCAAAACTGAATTTTAGCAATTTAAAGTTACTTGTCCCTTGAAATAAAGCCTAAAAAGCAGACAACCATCAATTATCATGCCTTAAAAGGCACATGATAGAGAGGGATCTAACCACCAGAATTTTTGAAAGATGTATGCAGAGCAGTTAATAAAACAGACTATATATATATATATATATATATATATATATATATATATATATATATTTCGGGTCAAACCAACACAAGATAGCCCAATGGCTCTCCACACTTTTGGATCCTGTGTTGCAATGCCTGGATGGTTTTTATCATCAAGGTTGAGAAACCCTTGTTTATACCGAATCTGATAAATTATTTCATCCGGTAAATTCATGTGCTCTAACGATGTTTTCTTCTTTACTTGTGTCCCTTTGATGGAAACCATCGATATTTGTTGAAAAATAATAAAAAGTTCATTAACTGCAAAACAAAAAACCTGAGTCAATTTTTTATATTTGATAAATTTAACCCCTCCGTTATAATTCAGTTTCAACAATTTATTTTCAGAATATATAATTGGGGTTGCTAATTGCTCTTTTTGGGTCCTGAATGAAAACATATTTGTTGGCTTAGGAAGAAAAGATGGGTAATAGTCCTCAACTGTAACAAGGTATGTGGGTTGTCCCTTTGTTTATTTAATCAAGTGAAAATGAGGCTGACCAGTTTTTTCTGTTTTTTAAATGGCATCCATCCGCACTAAGGTTCACTATTGAAAAAGAGTCTAATCATCAATTGGCTTTTTGGATGTATTAGTACATGAACGTCAACAGGTTTTTAATAAAAATGAAAATATAGAAAAAGAAATTTTAAAAGTTATAACTCTTTTTTGTCCCAAAAAAGAAAAAAGAACATTATCAAAACCCTTCTCCACAGAGCATTAAAAATTTGTTCTGAGCCTTTCTGAACGATGAAATTAACTTTATTAAGGATACCCTATGTAATTTGGGTTATCCTCTTGATACTGTTAATTCAGTTATCCTAAAGAAAGTTGAAGAGTTCAGAAAAAAAGCCCTGTTTAACTTAGATTACCATGGATTGGTACAAAAGAAAAAAATAGCCAAACAAATTTCATCAAAGGTTCGTTGTTGGCTTTTTCTCTGCTGAAGTTCGGATTATTTTTCAAACTCGGCCTATGTTCCGATCTGATGAAAAGACGTTCTCCTCCCCACCATATTAATTCTATTGTATACAAATACGTTTGTAGTTGCGGAGCCAACTACATAAAGAACGACTCAAAACAGACACTAGAATAAAGCAACACGTTCCTACTAAAATTAGAACCACACCCTGCCTGAAAGAAAGTGGACTCCAAGGAAACACCTGCAGTTCCGCCATATGAACACCTTTTTTAATAGCAGAGATTGTGCCGCCAAATTTAGTGTGTCGACTGGTTCACCGTGTTGGCCTTTGTCACAAACTGTATTTCATCTGAAGGTTCTGGAGGCACTTTACATCGGGTCCCGCAAGCCTTCTTTGTGCAAACAACGTGAGTGTTTGTTGGGACTCGCTGTCATCTGCCTCTAGTTCCTTCTTGCATATATATAACATATATATATATATATATATATATATATATATATATATATATATATATATATATTTAATTTTTTTTTTTTTTTTTTTTTTTTACTTTCTTACTGTACATTTCTCTGTTTTAATTTTCAATCTCCCTGTGGAAGCCTGAGCGGGAGCCTCCGTTGCTTCCACCCCCCCTTGTTGTTGAGTTTTTTTTTTTTTTTTTTATTATTTAATACTTTTTAATATGTCTTGTAATATTAAATTTTATACTTTTATTTCGATCATTAAATTTTGTACCTAAAAAAATATCTTTAAATATATATATATATATATATATATATATATATATATATATATATATGCCAAACTCCTCACTAAAAATATTTGGGTTTTTCAGTTGTTCAGATATGGGATTGTCAACCTGTGATATTATATTTATTGTATATTAGTAGGCCTCCAGACAAAATAGAAACATGATGAGAAAAGATATACTGTATATTTCCGCATATTCTAAAAAGAAACCTTAAATTCTGAGTGATGTTAGTCTGTAAGCTAACCTTGGGTTCCGTACAATAACCAATAACATACATGAAAAGATTCACATTATCAAATAAACTGATAATAATAGTAATAAAACCATTTACATCCTCCATATTACTAGCATAACTTCATAATAAATTGCTTATTTGAAACATAATTTCATATCAATGAAATCAACTTGTATCCATGTAAGCTCAGCTGAGAAAATATAAACAGAGTTATCAACCTTTATCTCTTGCTAAACTTTCAGTAATCATCATAGTAGCGTTCATTATGGAAGTAGTAACATTTAGGGTAACATAATATTCATTTTACATTAAAAATGAATTAACATTTTGGTGTTAAATAAATAACATCATAGAATTACATATAACCTTTATTTTTCAAATAAAAATCCTTTTATGGAAGTTGCATGTAAAACTTTTAGAATATTATAAAACTATTTATACTGTTATTAGCAGTCTTTTGTGATTGTCAATGAAGTATAAGTAAATGGCCATTAATACACCAGGCTGTAACTGTTTAGATATAGGAAAAGAGGAAGAGGAAGAAGAAGAAGAATCAGTATCCACATATCTGTTAATAAAGTTTTAGTTTTAAATTCTTTGTATAAAAAATTTATATCCACCTTGTTAAAATTCAGTCATAAGTTACCATTCATAATAAGCATTCTTGTCATCTGCTATTTCACATTATTTTAAATTAGTCGAATGTAGATGAAAAAAGGTAATGAAGTCAAAATAATCTGTTTAATTAGATCTTTAATCATTACATTAGTGAACTTAACAATGGTAAAAAGAACGTTTCAATAGAAAGAATATGTATCTCCCTTGTCAAAATTCAGTTGTAATTTAGAAAACCTGCAGCATTCGTAATAAGTCAAAATAATCTGTTTAATTAGATTATCTTAAAATTGTACAGAATTATTTAAAAAAGTAAAAAAAAAAAAAAAAAAATAGTAAGTTTGCTGAATTTTTATTATATTACAAACTTATTCAAATGTTTCATGGTTGGTTCTATGTAGGTACGTATGAAATTCAAGTGACTTTAAAAAATTATTGCTTATACAGAAATTTTAGATAGGTAAGAAATTTTATGACACTTTTTCTATTTGAACAGTAGGTAATTGTCTAGTATATTAAAAGGAATTAAGTAATTTCTGGAGAAAATAAAAAATTCAATTCAGGTCCCCCACCCCTACTCTTATTGCCAATGTTAATATTTTCAGATAGAGAATTTCTGTAGATCACTTCTCAAAATTTCTTTGGCACTGACAAAAAGCTCAAAAATCTAACAGAGCCATCTTTTTGTCATCTCAAACCAGACAAGGACATTTGTCTATACCAATAACCATCCAGCCACCAACTATGTCAAGTAGTTTTTAAATATGAAAAGATTCCTTTGCATGATTCATCAATGTCACTTCTTGAGGAAATTATCGACATATTCAGTCCAGTCAACAACAACTGACAGAAAAGCAAAGTCAAGCAACTTGTATTTTTTCTTTTTTTGTCTGTCATTGTTTGTTTTTTTCTTTTTAATAATGAGCATCATTACCCAGTATGCAATAGTGTTTGCTGTAATAATCATTAGTAGAATTGCCGCACCCAGGAAGCAACAAACAAAAATATCATGCAATTTGAGATGCACACAAACTGCAAGCTAACATTTTGCTTATTAAAAAAAAAAAAAATAAAAAAATAAGACAGCAGAGAGAATATAACAAGAAATAGGTGTGACTATTCAAGTACTGTAGATTTTACAAGCATAAGAGCATCTGGGTGCTGGTTGGATATTGAGATTTTCTTTTCAAGATTGGTTTGCTACCATAAACCTAACATTTGAAGAAACATAAAATGTTATGCCTTTAGTCTTTTGCTAGATCACTAAAGGGAAAAAAACAGCTATGATTACAATGATTGTGACAGGTGTACTTTGGTTGAGAGAGAGAGAATAGACAAAGAGAGACATTTACCACTGCAGAAATGCAAGCCCTAGCTTTTAAAAAAAATGAGGTAAAAAAAGGAGGGAAAATTGAAGGAAACAGGAAGAGGAAGTGATAGAGGAGAGGGGGGAGAGGAGGAAGAGGAAGTGATAGAGGAGAGGAGGAAGAGGAAGTGATAGAGGAGAGGGAGGAAGAGGAAGGATTGAAAAGGAAAAAAAAAAAAAAGGAGGAGGAGGGGGGAGAAAAAAAGGAGGAGGAGGACTGGGAAAAAAAGAGGAGGAGGAGGGGAGAAAAAAAAAGAGGGAGGAGGAGGGGAGAAAAAAAAGGAGGAGGAGGGGGAAAAAAAAGGAGGAGGAAAAAGAAAAAAAAAGGAGGAGGAGGGGAAAAAAAGAGGAGGAGGAAGGGAAAAAAAAAAAGAGGAGGAGGAAGAAAAAAAAAAGGAGGAGGAGGAAGGGGAAAAAAGAGGAGGAGGAGGGGAGAAAAAAGAGGAGGAGGAGGGGGAGAAAAAAAAAGGAGGAGGAGGGGGAGAAAAGAGGAGGAGTGGGGGAAAAGAGGAGGAGGAGTGGGGAGAAAAAGAGGAGGAGGAGTGGGAAAAAAAAGAGGAGGAGGAGTGGGGAGAAAAAAGAGGAGGAGAAGGGGAGAAAAAAGAGGAGGAGAAGGGGAGAAAAAAGAATTTTCAGTTATTGTGTCAGGTGTACTTTGGTTTAATTAAAGAGAAAAAGAAAAAAGAGGTTACAAAATTTTATAATTTCTAACATTAACATTTACGCATTAATTGATTTGTGTGTGTGTGTGTGTGTGTGTGTGTGTGTGTGTGTGTGTGTGTTTTTACATCTTATGAATCCCTTTGTGGGTTTATTTGAAACTGAAACATTTTCAATTGTAAGTATATTTTTTTTTTTTACCAGTGAATACTACATTAACAGTTTTTTTGATAATGATTTTGCCAAAAATAAATCCTATTATTTAATCTATAGGGTATTTGCATATAAGTGAATATAATGAACCAAACTGGAATTGAAACAGTACTGTGATTTCTCATTCCAGGCCATTATTACACCACCCATACATCTTGTGAGTCACAGAGTGCATGCCATTTTCTTGTAAATTTTTTTTTCTTTTTACAATTGACTTTGTACAAGGACCAAGAGCCACTCGGAGAAGGTTACAAAATAACATGTAAGTAGCAGATTTTATGAAAATATGTAGAAAAGTTAATATTGTAGTGATCTTGGAAGCATCCTCTTGGAAGTCAGTTCAACAAAGTAGATGTTCATGAGAAGAAAGTGTCTCACCAATAGAACACAAAAGGAATGGTTCACTCCAATATGCCTAAAAAATATTTAACTGAACAGTTAAATTGAAATTTTTGAAAAAGGGTGGGGAGGAGAAAAAGGGGAGAAGGAAAAAAAGGGGAGAAGGAAAAAAAAAAAAAAAGGAAAAAATTATGCTGTTGCATTTTGTAACCCACTGTGAACTGAGAAATGGGTAACTGGAAAAAGGGGGAAAAAAAACTGGGGAAAATATTTTCAAAGAAGGTGAAATGTTAAACTTACTGCATCTGCACCATGTTCCTGAAGTTCTTTATAAAATTTCAGGGAAATACTGACCTGCAAAAGAGAATACAAAAATCATGAATAAAATATTTTAATGAAAGAAAATTAAATATCAGGCCAATGAGGCATCAATGGAAGAGAATCATTTTATCTATCGAATTCTATGTAACAAAACTCCAACAATTCATCTTTTTTATTTCACCTATATTTTGTGTAAACAAAAATTTGAGGAATACAATTCTTAATTGAAAGTTCTTTATAGAAGCCACAGCAGTTAGACACACAGACATAAAGATACCAAAAACAACCAGGCTCATGATTCTAACGGCAAAGATTATAGGAAAGTGTCATAACATTTTTACATCAAGGAGATGAGTGTATTAAATTAATGCTTTTCTAACTTAAGTGTTTGGGTTTTTTGGGGGTTTTTTTCTACAGCTTATCACCTATTTGCAGGTCATTTAAAGCTAGAAAATATTTTTAGATTATAAGAATTCTTTTTGGGAGATAATGGTTTAGTGATACAAGTCTTACTAATTAATCCATAGCTAGAGAAAGAAGAGTTTACTTCATGCCTTTCCCAAGGTTATTTGCACATAAGTGTCTATAACAAACCTAACAGGAATTGGAACTCTGCTCTCCAATTAACAATTTGAAGTCATTATTCATTACATCATTCGTACATCCAAGCTTTACAGCACCTGGTATTCCCAAGCAGTCACCCATCTAGGTACTGACCAGGGTCAACACTGCTTAGCTTCATTCATCATACAGAAACTGGTGTTTCAACGTGATGTGGCCATAAGCCCGAGTGATTAGTGCTATAGCCCATGGTGTGGAATCGGGGAGAAATTCCCACCTAGAAAGGCATAAAGCCCCCCTAGCAGCTGTGGGTTAAGTAATAGTGTAGACTGAGATCTCTAGTCTTGGATGGTAGCCAATCTAGGAGAAAGACTACTCTGAAATCATAGCTGTAGAGAAGTGAGGGATCTTATTAGATGTACCATTACATATATATATATATATATATATATATATATATATATGTGTGTGTGTGTTTGCTTTCATCTTCATTTTAACTAAATCTCCATTAGGAAACAAAAGTCAGGACTAAGCTCTTGGTGGGAATCAAACTTACAACACTTTTATTTAAAGAAGTTTGTTTCTATAACAACTGTTGCAACTTAGAAGAGCATTTATGGTAAACAGAAAATCAACTATAACATTAGACTTATTTATCCCCCACCCACAAACACTTATTTGAGTTACTTATTTCCATCAATACTAAATGTAATTACAGTAATAATATCACAGTAAAATTTTTTTATTAGCTGAAGCAATGATACCTGCTATTAGCTAGCAGTACCAAAGTTTTTCCAAAATATAGCAATAACAATTGTAAGTATGAAAGTAGGTATTTTTTTTAAAGTAGTAAGAGAGTACAAATCAAATAAAGAATTGAAAATATAAGGGATATATTGTCTCATTTATCTTCCCTTATTATCTAAGTTTTCTTTTTCTCTCCAAAACCAAACAGCATCCCTGACATATTTTTTGTCTTTCATTGCAATCAAAACAAAATGGATCGTCATTTATCCAAGGTAGTGACAGGGCATAATACGCATGCTATAAAAACAAACTTGAAATTGTACATTACAATATACAGTAAGAAAAAAAAGGATGAGGAAGAACAATAAGGATAAAAAGAATATCACCATAAGGAGGTGATCAAAACAAAAAATAGACCAAAAGAAACAAAAAAAGACCAAAAACAAAGGAAAAAAGGACCCACGAAAAAGACCCAACCAAAAGACCAAAACAAACAAAAAAAATAAATAAATAAATAAATAAATAAAAATAGACCAAACCAAAAAAAAAAAAAAAAAAAAAAGAATTCTTTTGCCAGTGTATCTGCTTCAGGATTTTCCCTTGATGCCCATATATGGCTAAGAATCCAGGCCTATGTTATTGTTTTGTGCTTTATTAAATGATGACAAGTTTCTAGAATTTCTTGAATATGAGAATGATTTGTGTTCTTTTCTTTAATTGCTGTTAAACTACATTGGAAATTTATAATCTCCTCAGACTCCCCTATCTTTTGAATTATCTATCATTTTTATGGCTTTTAGTTCAGCTGTATAGATGGATGCATTATTTAGTAGCCTGGTTTATTTGTGAATTTGTGTTTGTGGCTGCTGCACCTATTCTATCTAGAATTTTTGATCCATCTCTGTAGAATAGTTTATAGTCATGATATTTGTCTCTTAATTCTCTGAATAGGCTTTTGTTGATTGTAACTATTTTTTTTTTTTTATCAATGTAAGGTCAATGTGAATTTGGAGATTGTCCATAGAGATACCTTATTTATTGTGACCAGTGTTACATTATAAAGATCTTTGTCTATTTGTTCTAGTGTTTCTTTGATTCAAAGACCAAATAAAGGGACAGCTATTGGTTTATTTCTATAGAACTGGATATATTGAGGATATGTTTTTTGGTATGCTGGGTTATTTGGGTTGGATTATAGTTTGAGTGCATATTGGAGGGATAATTCCCCACTTCTCAGCAATATAGGTGGTTCATTGGCTTCCATATAGATTCTTTGCATGAGTGAAATCCAGAAGGCTCCGAGACTTAATCTCAGGCCTTGATTTTGTATGATTTGTAGTTTTTAAGATAGAATTTACATGTTGCACTGTAAATAATGCATCTATAGTCTACTTTTGATCTGGTGTGTGATCTATATATTCTGAGCATTTCTTTTTGGTCGGCAACCCACTTCAGTTTTGATATTACTTTTAAAAGCTTTTTTAAGGTAATCAATGTACACTTTGAAGTTTTCTATCTAGTATGATTCCTAGATATTTTATTTATCTATGGGAATTATGTGACCATTCAATTTTAATACTGTATCAAGGTGATAGATTCGTTTTTTTTTGTAGAAATACATACAAACAGTTTTTGTTTTTGAACAGAATCCATTTTCATTTGTCCACTCTTTCTAACATGTTTAAACATATTTGTATACATCTTTCAAGGGAAGCCATATTTGGTGATGAATACGATATTGAGAAATCATCTACATATAGGCATTTTTCAATTCCTGTATTAATGGTTTTACTAATACTATTTATTTTGAGAATGAATAATGTCACCGATAAAATGCTACCTTGAGGTACTCCTGCCTCCTGCTTGTGTGTGTCTGATGTTGTTTCCATTTTGTACTTTGAATATTTGGTTTGATAGGAAATTTTGAATGAATATAGCCATTCTTTCTTTTATTCCAATCTTGTGCATGTCTTTTAGAATACTATACTTCCATGTGATATCATAGGCTTTTTCAAGATCATACATTATTCATACCACATGATGACATCAAACAAAGCCATCACAAATAAAGGATTCTAGCCATACAAATTGATCACTGGTCCTTTGGTTTTTCTGGTATTCACTTTGGTAACTAGATAAGAGATTGTTTCTCTCCAAGTAGTGCATTAGCTGAGCATTTACCATTCTTTCTATAGTCTTGAATCAAAATGTTAAGATTGTGGCTGCCAATAATGAATCCTGACAGGAATTCTAATTCTCTCAGAATCACCTCACTGTATACGTGGGTGTCTGGTGAGAAGACATCCTTGTCTTACACACCTTTCTACTTTCGTATATTTACTGAACTCATTTTCTATCTGTATGCAGGCAGTTTGCTGCTAGTATAAGTTCTGGATTATTCTAATATCCTTCCCAAATATGTCATGGCTGCCTAGCAGTTCAAACAATTGTTTGTGATATACTTTATCCATTTACATAATCTATAAAACATGGATTGCTCTTTCAGATATCATTCTGAAAATGAATATTGCATTCACTGTTAGTGTCTTTAATAAACCCACATAGTTCTTGGCCTATTTTTGGTCTGATTCAGCTGCATGCTCTATTCATCAGAATTCACATGGTAAGTTTTGTTATATTATTCATTAGGATTAGTAGAAAAAACAAAAACAAGGTCAAACATTTCTGAAATGACAATAAAAAAAAAAAAATAAAAAAAAAAAAAAAAAAAAAAACAGAAAATGCCCAAGTGTAATCTAATCCCTTTTAACCAGATACATGGTGGCAGCATTCAACCATGACAGGTCAAAAGTGAACAGAGAAGTACCTTGTTTCACACGGCACACAAAAAGTATGGCGCAAACAAGGTATTAATACTTTTGCCAATATAACCAAATCTTGTGAATTTTTACTGCTCTTGTAGAAGCTTGCTAGAGACTCGCTGAAACCTAGAATGTTGCTCTCTTTGGGGCACCTCAAGGCGGTGTAATAGTTAGTAAGCTTGGCACACTAGAACAATTACAACTGAGTAGTGAGTTTGATCTTCACTGGGTGCCCCCTAATTTTGGCCTTGTGCCACATCTATGCTTGAAAAATCACTATAAGCTTGCTAGAAAGTCAACATGGCTGTAATTTTACAGAAAACAATCATGACTTCTAACACTATTTACATTGTTCAAATTATTGTCCTCATCTTGATTGCCATATTCACAACATTTCAGCCATTGTACACTACGTCCTTCTTCACATTGGTTGATTGATCCAAAAGTGACTTGACCCAAAGAGTTGAGAGTTCAATACCTGGCCACAGCAGAGGGAACATCAACTTGGAGAATTGAGTTATCAAGGGGAATTAACTGAAATTGAGATATCCAAAAAAAGACATGGCGCATGGAAACGGAACAATCCTTCCCATGGACAAAAGGAAGTGTTCGGTTTCAAATTCCAAAAAATATCATGTGAAGGTGGCTGGAGAGTAAAAAGTCTGAATCACCGTGAATATGGTGATAAAGATGAAGACAACATTCTGAACCATATAGATAGTAGTTACAATACCTCATTCTCAGAAATATAGGCAGATGTTAATCGCAACTTCATCTTTATTTTATGTCAATTCCGATGCTCTGAACACTGTAGTAAATCACTGAAGTAACTACACTTCAAAACATCTCTTTATTTTGTTATCAATATACCTTACAACTACTCATTATCTTCGGAAAAATCAAAATGATACATTTACGGTCCTGATTACTTTTAGCCTCTATTGAGTAGCCAAAAGCGTCTGTCTTTTATTGTCAGTGGTTCCCAAACTGTGCGGTGCAGCAGAAGAGGATAACAGGTGAGACGGAATGAACGAAAGATTAAAAAACAGTTTCAAAAGATTCATATGCCAAAAATAAAGATGATTTCAAAATTTAAAATATTATTATGGATTACTTTAATTGCATGCACGAGGTCCATTATAAATTGTTATAAATAATTATTGATAGATTTTATTGTGATGTATTTGCATTATATCAAGTATTACAAATATAGTAACTAAGGTCTGCAAATTGAAGGAGAGAGTTATCAATGATAATGTTCTAACTTCAAATTGATGGTTATCTCCCATAATCCTGTTTTTTATTTTTAACTAAATAAATTTTGGTGAGGCGTGTAAGGCCTAAAATATGCCAACATCTTCACCAGTAGAGGAGTAAGACCCCCTCCCCCACACACCTCAAAAAGAGGCCACCATTTTGGTGAGGCATAAGCAAATTTTCATTCTGAAAATGTGGCCCAGAAAAAAGTTTGAGAACTACTGTATTAAGTAAAAATAAAATACTTTTTTTGACAATAACTTCACAATTCCATGCTCTAACAACTTTTATCATCTTTCTCAAGAACTGCTGGCCACAATAATGGTAAAGAGTGAATATGATAGATAAATGAAAAACTTATCAACCAAGCTGTAACATTTTCTGCCTGCCATCATAAAAAAAAAAACATGCAGTTTAACATCCTTATGATGGAATATCATACTCTTTCTTTTAACTAAATTCAGATGATTTTCCTTGAAAGCAATGCTAACTGGGAAAAAATACTTGTCTGATAGTGACAAAGAGAGATAGACACAGAGAGATACACACACACACACGGGGACACACACACAGACACACACAGAGATGGCTACATGTCAAATCAACTAACATAACCAAGCTGATTTTCAATTCTTGATTTTTAATATTTTGAGTATGTTGACCATTTTCCAGAGTGATTAATATTATTCTTAAGCAATGTCTTCATTTGATTGCTATCAAACAGAAGTGGTTGAACCAACCATTGTTTCCCCTCATCTGTAAGGCCTAAAATGTGCCAACATCTTCACCAGTAGAGGAATAAGACTCCCTCCCCACACACCTCAAAAAGAGGTCATCTTCCAAGTGGATGCTGAGAGACAATTATAAGCCCAACCCATATCTACCTATAGTATCAAGTATGATAATTAAAAAAAAAAAAATGCCAAAACATTGTTTCCTCCCCTCTGCAAAATTTAAAAAGGTCCGCTGATGAACTCACAATCATAAACACTCCTTTTGAGTGAACTTCATTCACAGTAAATACTCTGAATATCAGCGAAAAGAAACTTATTAGGCCATCCTTTCTGTTGAAAAGTTTTAATACCTGGGAAGTGACTGATAAGATTTGAGAAGTTTCTTTGTTCTTGGAATGTTGGGCAAAAAATGTCATTTTCTCCCTCAGGCTTTTCTTCTAAAATAAATGACTGATGATTCAAGACAATTTATAAATGGTCACAGCGGTAAGGAATATCCTCGATTAACTGACAAGCCATTTCATGAAAATTAATTTGCATAAAAATTAAATATATTCGGTTGTTCAGAAAATAATG